AAAGCTGAACAACATTCTTCTAAAACGGAGTGAGTAAAGGGTTTATTTAATGGTTAGTTTAGTACTATTGAAAAACATTATACGAGCAATGCCATACCTTCAATCAGGTTAAATGGGCTTGAAAGGGTTGTAAAAGGTGAATTTTTAGGTATGAAGTTAGTAAAATAATGGCAGCTATGCAAGTTAGTGGCATGGTTGCACTATCTGCCATACAACTAACTTCCCCACAAGACATACCTGGAAAGTAAATTAATTGAATCGGTCATATGTGTAAGGAAATTTTCAAAGTCCATTCATTCGATTAGTTATTCGAGAAATAATATCTATAAAGTAATTATCCAAAAACATAAAACAAACACCAAACAAATAATCCAAAACAAAGGAAATTGTTCAAAACTTAAACCATGTGAAACAGGGGGTTCAGCCACTAGGGGAAACTCGTCCAACATGTCTAAAAGGTTCTAATCTTCCATTGGTACATATGCCTCTTGGAAATCTGAAATCTCCATGATGGTATCTTAGGGATTATCCACTTGAGCAAAGTTTGTCTCAATCTTCTAACGATTGAATGATACTCAACAATGGCTTGAGGAAAAGCTCGGCATATGTGGGACCGATGTTCTTTGGAACTATAATCGTAACACATATTAAGATCAGTAGAAGCTTGATTAGTTTGAGCTTTGCCTTTTTTCTTAGAGTTGGAAGCCTACCTAGGGAATCGTGTTTTGGGGTTAAATTTCATCCCTTGGGTGGTCTCTGCTCTGTATACCTTAGGCCTATATCTAAGGTTCGACCCTTTGCCACAACCCTAACGTTTTTTGCGTCCCTTATGGCCTTGAGATATGGTGACACACACTTCAGGCATAGTGTTCAAGTCAGTAGGTCTAGCTTGATGAATCTTCATTAAAAATTGGTTTTGCTTTTTCAAAAGTAGTAAGACAAAGATCAAATCCTAAAATTTAGTGAATTTTTGTGTCCGATCTATTACTGCATGGCAATATTGGTGGCATATAGAGTTGAATAGGTATTTTCTAGGAGATTCTGTTCAGTTAAGTCCTCTTTACAAAAATTAAAGAGTGATTAGATTCGACAAACTTCATAATCATATTCATTCATAGAGACTTGAAGTCTTGGAAGCATAAATGTTGTCGGTCATATCTTGTTTCAACCAAGAAAATATCTTTTTGGTGATCAAAGCGCTCTGCCAGAGCGAGCAAGAGAGTGAGTAGATCCTTTTCATTGAGATATTTAGCCTACAATGTGTTGTGTATATGCCTTCGAATGAAGATCATAGTAATTGCCTTGTCAGCGTCGCAAACCGATTCGTCCGTAGCCTCTTCATTGGTGGTTTGAGGGTTTTGGCGGTAAAGTGGATGTTCATGTCTTGAACCTATTTAAGGTAGTTTCTTATTATGACTTCGAGAGCGGTAAAGCCTAGTTTGATACAGTTTGACATGTCACTGCAATTAATGGAGCAAGATCATGGTCAATATAATAAGAAAAACATCCATAGTCAAAAGTAGAACATTTGTGTTCTATAGACATGTTTTGGTTTAAATTAAGCATGAAAAACTTCAAGTTTCATGGGTGTATTATTTTATGAAAACTTTGAATTTGAAAGGCACTATATTCGAAAGTACAGGTTCGATTTAGATGAATCGCGAATTAAAAAAGGATACCTGCAATAACACAATAGTACAATAGACAACTAGTGTAGTGAATTTGCGTTGCTTTGGGGACCTAGTGTGAGTAGTTTCAGGACTATGAAAGGATGTCAACAATTCAAAGGAAAAAATAAAATATTGCATCATAATTTATAAAAGTGTTCTGCGGGCCAGAAATATATATTTTTTATAGTATTTATGGACTGCGGATCATTAAATTAATTCAATAGGTCGGGCTCAAAAAGGGTTCAACAGTGAAAGCAAGAAAATACAATGGTTCAGGCCATATATGGGTTGGATGCCTACAAGCCACATAAAATAGAAGCCTAAAAAAATGGATTAGGAAGTAAATGTAAGTCCAAAATTGGGTTTGGACCGAGGCAGGCAACAACCAAGCAAGTGACTGGGTGTGAACTGATAAACCCAACATAAGCTAGTGTGGGCTAGGAAGGAAAATGGCTCATTAATGGGCTATGCTTGTCCAAAATAGTAACCTCATCAAGTCGGCTTGGACCAACATCAGCATTAGGCCCAAAATATTTTAGGCTGCTGAACATGAAGCTCAAATGAAATCATTTTGAGCATGAGCTGCAGGGGCGGCGCGACTGGCGCACCTCGGCTTAGTGGCACGACCCAGCAGATTTTTTCTTAATTTTTTTTTCTCAATGCAGCACTACGCAACTTTAGGCTGCAGCTTGGCTCATGATTAGAGTTTTTTTTTTTCTCTCTGAATAAAAATTTAGTTTTGCTTCTATTTTCTTGTTTTTTCTTTTTTCTCACACAATTAACCATAGCAATACCTAATAACATAATAAAAATATTACGTATGCATAAACAATATATACAATTGAACAATTTATGCAATATAAGCAATATGTAAAGCAACAATATATTTGGGGGTCATGCATTGTGGTGAATGTTTTCATGCTATTAGGGCTTATACAATATCGATTTCGTATTTTATTAGAACTTGGATTGGATAGAAATGAAGAAAAGCTTTGAATGCTAGGAAACTACTCCAAGTAATACAATTACAACTAGGAAACTATCTAAAAGATATTGTAGAATCCTACACATAATCTACTAGGATTTACACAGTCACACTCTTGATCAATCTGCAACAATGTTTACATTTCATTTACATTTTTGGAAGATGTAAATGGAAGTTTTACCCCAATTGGAGAAATGTAAATTTGAGATCCTATTAAATTTTCTCACTTTGATTGGCAGGACCCACCACTAAAGGATGTAAACAAAGATGTAAATCAACTTAGATTTTTATTTACATTTTTTACCAAAATAGGTATTTTACGTCACTCCATGGAGAGTTTTTCAACCAACTAGAAATTTAAAATACACATTTCAAAGTATTTTGCACCTCCTTATTAGAGATGCTCTCACTTTCTCTTTTGTACATCACTTTTGAGCTATTTTATTAAAAAGACAAGGGCTACGGACCGAATGCTTGAAGATTTAGGGTTATACCCCTTATCTATTTTTGATACTTAATTAACTTGGCAAACGGGTTGTATTTGTCATGTTTGTGTCATATTTTTTTATCTTAACACACCGTGACGTGTCAAACCCATTATCTTAACAGGTGCTAAACAAGTGACACGATAACGACCCGACTCGTTAACAGGTCGAGTCATTTTATGTCGGATTAATGGGTCATGTAAGAACTTGCCATGCTTAATATATAGACCTGGCAAATGGATCATGTTTGTGTCATTTACGTGTCACACTCATTTTCTTAATGGGTTTTTAACTTATGACTCGATAACGATCTAAATCGTTAACAGGCTTTTAACGAGTGACTCGATAACGACTCGACTCGTTAATGGGTTGACCTGAAACCTACTATTTTCGTGTCATCTCGTGTCGGACTAACATGTCATGTAAGAAATTGTCAGGCCTATACTTAATCACTTTGGCCTAAGGGCATGCTTTTGTGTGAAGAACTTGTTTAGTTGGTTAACACATTGTGACCTTGTTTATTTGTGAAAGTGGATCCACTTGGCCATATCTTTTATTCTCTTTCATGCTTAGTTTTAGTATTATCTAGTGGATTTTTTTAGTTTAATGCTACGTTCTGATGTGTCACCATTTGTATGTACATATCTCAGAATTACAATGTGAATTAAACCCTAAGCCTTCAGTACTAAAATCATAATTCAACCATAAAATAATTACCATAAGAAGACATTCTTGAGTAGAGAACCCGCATCAGGATAAGTGTGAGAGAAAATGAGACCAAAAAAGGATAAGCGTGGGCCTCAAAATCAAGCAAAGTGAAATAAAGGGTATTTTTGTCACTTGACCTGTAAAGACACATGGTTCGGCACTTGGCAGTTGGACCTTAGAATTTCTCCACCATAAGACCCTAAACTTTACTAGACATTGTATTCATAATCCCTTATATGTCCTACATAAAATAACAAAAAGGAAAAGGATAAACAATAGAAAAAGAAATCTAGTTATTATAAGAGAACTTAATTCCCATTTGGGGGGTTTATAATAATGTAATATTTTCTTTCTTTTGTTCCTTAAAATAACATGAAAACATTTTGGTACAACACCTTCTTACTGATGAAGTTCCAAAGCCATCATACTTGGAAACCTCATGCCATTATACATAATATGTCTAGTCCTCCTAATGATTTATTTTCTCATTTCCCAAAGTTCCCAAACAATGATTTTCGCTTGTCAAAATGCTCGAAAATTTTATTATACTTCAAAGTATTCTATAATCCGGAGTTTTTGGTCATCACATTTTAACAAAGTGCAAAACATTTTTGACAAATGCAAAGAATACCCAATAATGAATAGAGAGAAATTCCACTTCTCCCTTGTCCATCTTTCCCTCCTTATTCATAGGCTTTTCATAGAATCTGACACAGTTGTAGACTTGTATACCCAAAGCTGGGTTTAGGGTTAAGCTTTTGCGCACCTAACTTAGCTTCTCTTGAAGATGTGATTAGAAATAGTAGGTAAAGCCATCAACCGTGGTGGTCAATGAAGATTTGATGGACAACGAGGGTCGGTAGAACTAGCAGACATGAAGCATTTGCACCTTGACAAGGATTTTGGTACACATTGGTAGCTGAGTTTTGGTCATCATGCTACAATTCAATTCTCACAACCATTATAAACTAATCAAATTAAGCCAACAATAACTAGCTTTTACAAAAATTAAAACAAATCAAACTTGGTCTTTCCTTGTTTAAAAATAAAGTTCCACCGTAAGTTGAGGGAGATTATAGTGGAAAAGGTCTTTGAATTGACATATTTACAACTCCTAATCATAGCTATTGTAAAAGATGCTATGACCCTCACTCCGATCCTTCAAGTTACAAGTTTTCTTTAAGAAAAAGGAAAAACAATGGGGGATAAAAAGAAGTGAATTCATAAGCCCACCAACAAAGGAATTTTCATCTTTGTAAGCATCATTTAATTTCAAATAATGTTGTTTTGAAAAAGAAAAAAAGAATGTAGGTCATCTACCCTCATTGGCTAACTGTAAAGACCCTTCTCTCATCAACTTCAAGCTTATGCTGTTGAATCTTTCCCGTGAATATTGCCTGGATGCTTTTCTCCAATCTGTACCAGCCTTCATCATAACAGCAAACTCCTCGTAACTGATGCGCCCATCCTGCAAGATGACCATACAAGAACGGTTGCGGTTTATGTTATTGTTGATGCACACACTACTAATTAAAAGGAATGGTATGTATACATATTGATATTCACACATAACTTGATTACAAATATTGATACATACACATATCAAAAGTAATTAAAAAGTAATCTTACAAAATGAAGGCATTTTAACTAGTCTATTGACTTTGTTCTTAGGATAAGCATTTTCCGCATAAAGACAAACTAAAAACTACAATTTTCTTGACAAAAAAAAAGAACCTAAAGGCAACAACCAATACATGGCAAGGTTAATTATTAGGGGAAGGTTTGAAGGTTTAAAAGTAGGGCCATTTAACCATGTAAGCTGGAATAAAACATTTTGGATGAAGGATAAAGCTTTTTGGTAATTGTATCTAAATTGTTTTTCTAACCTTATCTGTGTCTACGTCGTGCATAATTGCATGGATGACTTCCTCACCACCTATGTCAACATCATCAGTTAAAGCATTTCTTAATTCTTCAATTTCTATGTAACCACTTTGGTTTTGATCGAAGAATGAAAAGGCTTTATGTAGGTGCTCGTCATTTGCCATCCTTTTAAGGTGAACCATAACAGCAACAAACTCTCCATAGTTGAGAGCTCCATCCCCATCAACATCAGCCTGTAGCAATCAGAAATCAATTAGTTACTTCGTAAAGTCCCCAAAAGGAACTAACATGCAGGACCATTCCCTTGTCTCTTTCTTTTGTAAAAAGTTTTCTTTTCTCTTTTCCAAAATTTCATATTTTTAGTTTGCTTCTTGAGATTTAAGATGATGCAAAGTAAGGCATATTATTATACAACCCCAGATTAAAAGTTAGAAGGCAAGTTGGCGAAGCACAAATTAATACTTACCGCTTCCATTAGTATTTGAAGATCTGGATCAGGAATATTTTGCCCCAGCTGTTGTATCCCGCTTCGTAGCTCCTCTATGGTTACCTTGCCCTTGTTGCCAGCGTCCATCATTTGAAAAGCCTCTTTTATGCCAGCTACTTCCTCAAGTGACAAATGGTCGGCTATGACCTATGCGTGAAATAGTCAAGGGTTCAAACATTGAATATATGGTTAACTTTAACACAACATACAAGTTGCTCAACATAAATGCCTTCAATAACTATGGAATCCCAATAAATAATTTCAAAACATTACCCCTAGAGCTCTTTTTTTCAGCTTGTTCATTATAGAAAATTGCTTCAACCTTGCTCTCACAGTCTCACCAAGCGGGACATTTGGGGCCTTCTTGGCATTTTGAATCCAATGATGATCTACACGAAAAAAAAAAAAAAAAAAAAAAAAAAGAGGGATTAATATCTCATGTAAAGCAATAAAACTTTGGAAAATATAAGATATCAGATTACTACCAAGCACTTCCTGAGCTGTCAACCGCTTCTTTGGATCAGGATTTAGCATTTTCTTCACTAGGTCCTTTGCATTATCTGACACTCTAGGCCAGGGGTCCCTCTTGAAGTCAATGGAGGATCGAATAATTGCTTGTGCTACCCCTTGTTCAGTTTCTACAGTGAAATTATTTGAAAAATAATGAGAAGGAAAAAATAATAAATTAAGCAAGGAAATACACCAGCAGGAGTACTTTGTTCAAGTTGATCCAAATAAAAGATCTTTGATAAGCAGAAGCATTCCAACTCATGTAGAAGTTGTAAAGAATCAAAATAGAAACAGTGGAGAAGAAACACAGACCTGCCCAGAAAGGTGGAACGCCACAAAGTAAAATATACAAGATAACCCCAGCACTCCAGATGTCAACCTCAGGTCCATAGTTGCGCTTCAAAACCTCTGGAGCCATGTAGTATGGACTTCCCACTATCTCGTTAAATTGCTCACCTATAGAATATAGCAGCCTTTAGCTACACTTGTTTTGTCATAAGGTAAAAACAGAGATGAGGTAATGATGCTAAAACATAGACTTCATAATGATGCTAAAACATGGACTTCAAGAGTGGAGAAAAAAACATTAACCATGCAATGTTGAAAAGTAGTGCAATACCAGGTTTGAAAAACACAGACAATCCAAAATCTATTGCTTTCAAAGAGGCCGTTTCCTTCTTATTTGCAAATAAGAAGTTCTCTGGTTTGAGATCCCGATGCATTACTCCATGTTTATGACACATCTGCAACGTAAAGTGCAAACAAATCAGAATCTTTCACACTAACATAACCACAGAAGAAAAAACACATTATCATACAATCAATTATATGTATATGTAGAGAAAAGTATCTTCAGTGCATAGAATATTATTATATCCAAAGGTTCAAGATTCAAACGTAGCCAACATATCACCTAAAAGAACATATAAGCCAATAAAACACAAGAAGCAAGGAAAGCTAAAAATGAAGCACCAATAATCACCTAAAAAAACATATAAGCCAATTAAACATGAAAAACAAGGAAAACTAAAAATGAAGACACCATATTGTCTGCATAGTAATATTTACTTTTAACATCAAATAACGAGAAATTCAACCCAGTTAGCAGAATACATAGCAACACGACTAGAGAATATCCAATAAGGGAATGGAGGACATTCAACTCACCACATGGTTCTCCATTTACATTTAAAGTTCATAATATAACGGTGTCAACAAAAAAAAAAAATGTTATACGAATCACCTTTACCCTAAGCAAGAATATAACAAATGAGATATACGATTCAGCCAACACCATAAACACAAGCCACATCATCTTATGTTAGATCAAATCTAATGTAAGAACAAAATTATCAAATTTCAAAACCATACCAATTATAAAACCAAATTAACACAACAGAACCATAACAAAATTTAACCTGGACAACTTCAACAATTGTCCTCATTACGCCTGCAGCGGCCCGTTCTGTGTAATGACCCCTAGCAACAATGCGGTCAAACAACTCACCACCCTCGCACAACTCCATCACAATGTGAACTGCATCATCATCCTCATAAGTGTCCTTCAATGTCACAATATTTGGGTGTGGAGGCAAATGTCGCATTATCTCAACTTCCCTCCTCACATCCTCAATATCCACCGCAGTCCTTAGCTTTTTCTTCGATATTGATTTGCAAGCAAACTTTTCGTCTAAGGATGCCTCTGTGCATAGATATGTTACTCCGAATTCGCCTCGGCCAAGCTCGCGTCCCAGGTCGTATTGGGCCGAAATGTCTCGACCTGTAGGGTCTTTCAAGACACACAATTTCCCATCACCATCTTTTCCATTAATGCCACCGAAATCTGTTGCAAATGGGTTTGTCTTCTTGTTGATTTTCTTCTGCTTGTTCTGGCCTGATGTGCCTAGAGTTACACAACAATTTCCCATGAAATATAAGCCTCGAAAGTTTCACAATTTCCAGCCTTTTCTCAAGAATTCTTGAGGACCCAATTGAGCAGAAAGGTCGATAAATAAAAATCTGAAGGGGAAATTAGAAAGAAATCAGAGAAAATTAATGACAAATCCAACATTTGAGTTCCATAACATTTCCAGCTTAAAGATTTTTAGATTTGGCAGAAACCATATTTAGAAATGTGGGATATTCATGCAGAAACAAATAAAAAATCCATGATTCTCCAGTAAATCCAAATATAAAAACAGAAAACAAAACAAAAACAATCAAAAGATCAAAAAAATGTAAGAGAAGAACAAAACCTTTCAAATTTTGGGGAATTTGAAGGAGACCCAGATGAGATTTGAAGGTAAATTATTCACCTAAACCTAGTTAATGAAATAAACCAAAGATTTAGCAAGGTGAAGAGGAATGTGAAATGAGAAGGTGTGAAAACACCATGGATTTGCAGAGAAAGAGAGAGAGAGAGAGTCAAAGCTCTTTGATAGAGGCTTTTGTTTCTCTCTCTTAAAATCCTCTATTTTTCCTTCTGTCTTGTTTTTCTTTTTCTCTCTTTAAATCCAAAATTTTGATTACGTTTGGGAGTCAACCATCAAAGGAAAAACAGAAAACAAACCTCCTCTTGCTTTTTCTTTTTTTCTTTCTTCTTTCCTCCCCTTTTCTTTTTATTTTCTCCTTTGCCCAAAATATCCAGCTCAACCTTGCAAAGTTACAAGTCACAGACTCTTTTTTTTTTTTTTTTTTTTTCATTTTTGGTAGTTTTCATGCCTTGTTACCGTTGGATCAGTTATCGATAATTTTCCATCAAATATTTGTTGTTTTATCCATAAATAGTTTTTTTTTCTTCAGTATAATTACAGAAAATGTGACAAGAGGAAAAGAATGTAAAAAGAAGTTAATTTTTATTTAAAAAGAGTTTTTTTTTTCATATATAAAATAAAAGTAATTCTTGCTATTTATTGAAAGTAAAATAATTGTTAGTTTTAGTTTTAATAGTTGAATTTTACCCAACAGTTCAACAAAAGTTGGTTGTGGTTTCTAAAAACCAAAAAACCACCTCCCAAAAATATTTACTATAAAATACTATGTATCTAACGAATTTTGAAATGGAACTATTATTGGAACAACAAAAATCTCATTGTACACTTCTCAAAAGTATATATATTTTTTCCAAATATAAAAGGTTTATAGTGTATAATGAAAATTTTAGAGTGCCAATAACAATTTCTTTTGGAAAAAAAAAAAAAAAAAGAAAGATTATGACCCCATTTTCCATGAGCTAGTGGTGGTCAATCTATTGCTTGATAATGTTGAAAATTTATATATGTGTTATTTCTTTATTAATTCAAATTGACAAAAGGGTATAAATACGTGAGAAAATTAGAGTATTAGTTCATGTACTTTGGCTCAATTAGAGCTTTGGTCTTGAACTAAAATGTTTTAGTATTGGTCTCTAACTTGTCATAGTTTGGTCTAGAACTAAAATGTTTTAGTATTGGTCTCTGACTTGTCATAGTATGAAAGTTGGGCGGCGAGCTGGGGCCTAGGCGCCTAGACGGGGCCTAGGCGGACTAGGCAGATTTAAATAAATTTTTTATATATTATATTAATATAATTAATTATTTTTTATGTACACAATATGATGGCCCATGAAAAAAAAAAAAAACCATTATCCAAATAATTCATATAACACACACACACACACACATATATATGTTATATATATATATAGGTTATATATGAGTTTATTATACATTATATGAATATATATCCAGACTTTTAAAAAGATAAAAGCCCAATTTGATAATTAAAATCCATTGACTCGTGCACTTCACCTCTCACATTACCCAAGGTAGAGCCCAAGTAAAGTAAAATACCTTTCCCATTAAATCTTTTCGGTTCTTCTTCTTCCTTCTCCCTTTCAAAACCACAAAGTGAAATTGCAGCTCGTGCCACCACAGTTGAAATGTCAAATTGCCTTTCTTTGTCTTTCTTCCCTCATCTTCTCATAGACTGCAAAGCTGCAGAAACTCGCTAAGCCTCTACTGCTACGTATAAGACCAGAAGTTGCAAATTAAGAGTTGCAGTGAATGTGGGATTTGCAACAGCCTATAGTGGCCCCTAGTGCCATCTAGACCGCCTAGTGAGCGCCTAGGCGGCCGCTAAATCCTCTCCACCTTAAGTGACCATTTTGGTCGAAATCGAGTTAGGGCTTTGCCATCCAGTGCCTAGGCGTCGCCTAGGTCAATTTTTAGAACACTGGTGTTAAGTAATGGCACTCTTTTGTAACGTTGTTAGAACTTTTGTCTAAAATAACAAGCTTTAAGGGGCAAGTGAGGGACATAGGTTATAAAAGTGCTAAAAGAGATGTCAAAATTTGAATATAAAATTTAAATTTGAACCTATGTGGCACAAATTTAAATTTGAATGTGACAACCCGTCCCTAATTTTACGTTTTTATTAATTTTAAAAGCGTCAATTTACGAAAATGCCCTAGAGACAAGGACTTTGACTTCCATTGACCAGCGGTTTGAGATATGTGAGACTTATTCTTTTAGCTATCCTCGTAGTACTCGTTGGTACAAACGCATAGGCGAAAGCCGTTTGCAAGTCCGGATTATAACGATATAGTTATGGATGTTTGAAACTGGTTATATTTAAAGTTATAAATTATTTGAATTCTCACTTTATGGGAAGGTGGCCCAATCGGATTTATGTTAGTAAAAAAGACTAATTAGATAAAGGAGCGAGTAACCAAATAGAATGGGAGGAAAAAAAGAGGGCAACAGCCAATCAGAGAATGGGAGAGAAGCTCCTAGCTCTTTCATGTGCACAACCTAAAACCACATTCGCGACCTTCCATTTTCTAAGGCCGATTCCAGCCAACTCCGATGGATTTTTTCGACGCCACCACCACCATCTTGAAGCTCTCATTCCCCTCTACGAAACCCAACCAAGAACCACCTTTATAAACCACCACATGTGGTGGGGCGAAGCCACGAAATCCTACGTGTCAAAACCATGTCCGGCCAATCTTTTCAAATTTTCGGCGAATCGGCAAAGCAATGGCCGATGCCACCACTTAGGCTTTGTAGCCCATCATCCTAGGAGAAAATCCCAACCAACCTTGATCCCGTTGGACTACCGTAGACGACGAATTGACGCCGGGAAGCTTTAAGCATCCGCCGGCTTTGTGGGAAAAATTGACCATCTTCCGTCCACTTTTGGACTTCGTAGTAGGTATGAAAGTTGTTCCTCTCTTTGAGATCTTCATTTCTACGAAATTTGAGAATTTTTAGAAATAGTGGAATTTTTCGACAAACCGTGGCAGCTGGCCACCACACCAGCGACGCGTGGGCCGAGACTCCACCTGACCTTCCCAGACTAATTTTGAAGCCCCAATTCCATATTTGACATCCGTTTAGTGAAATTATGATGTTTAATATAGTTTCATAGTTGACCACCTAGTTGGCCATTAAGAGGTCCTTGCATGAATTGACTATCCAATCGTTGGATCATCACCAAATTTTAATACATTATGGTATGTAATATTTGAGGATACTAGAAACTTACATATTAGAAATCTAACATACAGATCTTCCCAAATTGGATTTGTAAGCTCGTAAAATAAAACGTTGACTGCCACTTGAATTGGTAATTGGCGGAGATACAATCGTTGAATCATAATGAAACTTTAGTCTTATGTTCTAGAAGTATAATGTGGATATTTAGAAGTTTCTGATCGGAAATCCGAGATGCAGATCTTCCGGATTGAGTTACGTAGGGTTGTGGACCCTACCGTTGATCTTTGACCGAATGTTGACTTTTGGTCAATGGATCTCAAATCATTTCAGAACGTCATTGGGATGTGTTTTATGTAAATTACGGGTTCTATAGATAAGAGTTATGAGACGTGACTGAATAATTGTCCTAGGTGAGGATTGTTCGTGAGGTCTCAATATTCGTGCTTGGGAGTTGTAGCGCGAATCTAAGGTGAGTGGGTCTTTTCCCTTCTATCGTGTGTGTATATATATATAAGATTGACGTCTCCACAAACGTTTATAAATTGAATATTTCATATAATTTCTGTGAATGCTTTGGAGGACTAGTACGAACTACGAATGGCTTGATCCCTGTTTAGGGTACGTAGGCAGTCTAACGAGATGTTAGATGCAACCATATAATAAATGAGACTAAATAATTGAGACAATAGCCTTGTTTGGGGAATTGAGCAACGTGAGGGACACTGGTGGAAATGTGAGATTTAACCTTATGATTTGGTGGTTAAATGTTGGTCATAAATCAATGTGTGAAGAATCAAGAAATTGAAGTAAGGAAACGTAAGTAATGATAGTTAATTAAACTACTGTCTAGTTGGGCTTATCATCGATAATTATTCATGAAAATAAATAGTTTGGAAGCGGGGTGTTATAGATTATGCATTTCACGCCATGTTATATTTATATATTTGGAAACACTATGTTATGGTTGAGTTTTAGATTGCATCATGACATATCCATATGTATATTATCTACACATAATTACTGTAAATGCTTTGAAGTGCAAAGAGGAACGCAGGATGCACAGGTAAGTTCAGGTGAGTTTATGGTGTTACTCGAAATGATCGAGTTATGGCATGACTATATTTATGTTTTAGGCAACTTTGACATTATCGTATAGGTTGTAATCATAGGCAACTTCGACATTGTCATACAGGTTGCCCATAAGTCGTACATGTTATGTTGAGATGCATTGAGAGCTCATAAACCTGCATCCCGGTGTTAGTGCTCCCGTCCGTGGCCAGGGCACAGTCCTTCACGTGATGTTCACCTCCCACACCTTACGCTCACCTTGGATCCAAGGTAGGTGCACAGTTATGTCGTACATACCATAATAGGTGGTTCCGACTCGTAGTTAACCTGCAATTATTCGCATAGTCTTCACGTGATCGTAGCACTTGAGCGTATTTACACCCAGTCATGTCGTACATACCACTTTAGGTGGTTCTGACTCGTGTGCAGGTAGAATTATTTAGCTATTGATTCAATCGTACAGGTCACTATAGGTGACTCCGACTTATATGCTAGCATTGATTGATGAGATATGGATAAGTCGTACATGTCACTATAGGTGACTCCGACTTATGTGCTAGCATTGGTTGATGAGATATGGGTGCAGTCGTACAGGGCACCATAGGTGATTCCGACTTGCGTGCTAGTATGGGTTATTAAGCACATGATTATTTATATTGCTAATGCGATGCTGAATAGTGGTATATTTCTGGATTTACTGTTCGTATACAATTAATTTCATACTTCTACTCAGTATAATTTTCTGGAAATTATACAGGTGTTATGGCAAGGGGTTACTGCATTTGGTAATTGAAATTGGTTTGAAAAGTTTTGTTTCACTCACTCACATTTTCTATTTTTGCACCCCTCTAGGTTCTAGCAGCAGAGTTCCATATCGACGA